ACGATGCGTACTCATGGCGGCGATATTGTCAACAAAGAATCGAGGTAATAATCGATCGCTGATGATCGCATATCGTCAGTGGGTGACAACTGTTGGGAAGTAAACAACTGCTTGGCTGATCACCGAGACGCAGAAGGCATAAATCGGTCAGATGTTGCGTACCAGCTGGAGATATATAGATACCAGGACGAAGGGCTTAGCATTGTTATGCTGGGAGTGTAGCTGCGTCCCACATCGGATCCTCATGCCAGTTGCCCCTCGACAATATGCATTTTTGCATTGCATAAATGTAAAAAAACATAAAAAGAAATAAAAGTGCCACATTTTTAGTCTTTTGGGAATTCGCGTGACTCCTGTGGTACATCCCGGCTCTTTTCTCTGTTGTTAGCGATTTTAATTTCTCTAAATTATTCATATGATGTTTTCCTTCTACCACTCCTTTTCCACTTGGTCTTTATTCCCTTACTAAAAAATTACAACCCTCTGAACAACCTCAGGTGATATTCGTTGTTGCAGACATTTTGAGGTATGTTCGTTTGAATATTTTCAAAAAACTTTTCACAACTTACATGCAGGAGCTGCACTGATGCTTAACGTCACTGGAGTCTGATGACAAGCAGTACACATACATTTTCTCTCATTACTTTCGAAATTTGGGTAAGTACTGAATTCAAGAAAAAATAGGTTTCACCGGTCGGCCGGTTTGTCGGAGATGGATTGCGTTCCGGTGAAAAAGGCCGCCGAATCACGAAACCATCAATTTGGAGGCGCACAAGTTTACAAGTAAGTTGTGTGAAATTGTGAGTTTTTCGTGTGACCCGTAGTATCATAGTTTTTAATGTTAATGGGCAAGCTTCAAGCTTGTAACGGTTTTTATTGATATTGCAGGGAACACCCGTATGTCTCGTTGAGGAAACTAACATGTTCTGTCAGTAATCCACGTATTGGACCTTATCCGAGTCCAATCGGCATGGAAGCGCTTGTTAGAATCAAGGTATGCCTTAATTTTACTTGTAAATGTGAATTTTCAGTTTATGTGCGGTAAACAAATTTTCAATATTATGGCCCAGTTCGGGGTGTGTTCAAAGCAAGGCTTTCAATAAACGATTCAAATTACAGCAGCGCTTCTACTCGACTGATAATTTGAGTGCCTGGGCTTCCGACATCACACCGGCGTCTCTCACTTCTGGGATGAAGCATCACATATCGAGCAGATCCTCTGATCAACATCGTTTAGCGGTTCTTTTTTCAGCTGATTGGGTAGCATTGTCACGAGCTTGGTACTTGTTCTGAAGGAATGCGTATGTATTATAGGTCGCATTTGCATCAAATCCGGTATGGTCATCAAAAAGTGGCTCTTTGGTAGTGATTGGCAACGACGGTATCATGACGGAATACACGCTGTCCATATCCCCAAGCCCAACTGCTGCTTCAAGCACAACGTCAGCTGCAACGCAGCCACGACCAAATCCTGACGAAGCAATGATTCAGTGTACTCTAACGCCTGGCGCTCAGTGGACTTTGCAGAGGTTTTTTAACACATTGTTGCTTCACCACAGGCATTGGGCGAGTACTGCACCTGAAATTTTTGGATTTCGTCACTTCAGCAGTTAGTTTTTTCTTGAATTCTTGTGCTAGGCGATCAAGCACTTCCTTTCTGAACGCTGTGGAATTCGACTCCGTCTGTAGCACAAAGCACATTCAGTCCCTCTACGGTTTGTTCATTCATTTCGATGGTAAATTGACAAGCTTGCTTATGAGCATCTTTTGGAAGAAGAGCTGTCGACAACTTTGCCAAAAAATAATTGCTGTGCTACCACTCGGGCTATTTTGGAATTTC